TTTTAAATAGTGTAGGGAAGTTAACTTGTTTAACTTATTTTCTTATATATATATCGTTTATTTTATTATTAATAAATTGCTAGTTTTTAATACTTTATAGGAAGACTCGTTAGTTTATTTTATATTTAAAATAATTTAAAATAAGTAGAATAATTATTTTTTCTTTTAGTTTAACTTATATAGGCTTAGTAAATTTCTATATAAAAAGAAAATCGAAAACGATTATTATTATTTAGTATATAAATTATTTATCTTAATTAAATATAGTAACGCCTTTTTAAGTTTTAATAAAATCGTTTGCTTTATTTTGTTTAATTCTTATTTTTAAATTTTAGTTAAAGTGTTTATTAAAAATATCTTCGTTTAATACTAAATTATAAATTATAAGAAATACTAGTATATCGGCTAAATAGTTACTATTAAACAAAGGCCGGATTATAATATCGGCTTTTATTTATTATAAAAAATTAAGTCGTTAGTTACGACGAAGTTTTAAAGGGTATAACGAATAGTTTTTGATATATATTATTAATTAATAATTTATTATATAATATAATTCGCTATTATAATTAAGTTTAAATAGTAGCGAGTTTATTTTAAACTTTTTATTATTTATATTAATACGAACGTATTAAAAAAGGGCGGGATAGTTTAGTTTTATATCGCTCTAGCGACGTAAGTTTTTAAAAATCGCTTAATAAAGATTATTATTAATATTTTAAAATTATTATAGTTTTCAATACGGATTCTTTTTTTTAAATTAAGGATATTTATTTAGTTAAGGACGTTAAATTTTTAATTAATAAGGATTTTTATTTATAAATTCTTAAATACTTAGGCTCCGAAATATAATCTTATAATAACGGTTTTTTTTTTAAATTAGCTTATAATATATAAGTCGAATAGTACTTATTTTAAACTCTTTATTTATTTAATACCGGTAAAAAGTTAGTTAAAAATACGGTTAATTATATAATTTAATATACGAAATAAAATACTTTTATAAATAACTAGTCGTCCTATTCTTAAATTTATATAGGCCTGTTTTTATAAGCCGTAGAGGCCGAAGTTAATTATAATTTTTATATAAATATAATTATAAAATATTAAAAACGGTTTAACGGTTTATTATAATAAACCTTTTATTACTTTTAATTATAAATCGATTTTAATTGTATTTTAATAAGTTAAATAATAATTTTATTAATATTTTCTTTTTTTATTTAAGATAATATTATAGGATTTATAATTTAAAAAGAGGAAATAAATATTATTATATTTTAAAATATATTAATAGTTTAATATAATAGTAATGTCGTTGAGGATATTTACCTTTTTAAGCTCCTTGTTTTTTATAGTTAAGTCGTTTTAACTTAGTAAATCTATAATATTTACTTATAAATTAATATAAAATATATCTATTATATAAAAACCCTCGTTTTATATTTATTTTTAAATAACTATATTCATTATACCGTCCTCGTTTTAAATATATACGTTTTAAATAATATATATTCCCTTTTTTTAATATTTATAAATAAGTTATTTTCGTTTTAAGCGATTTAAGTTATTTTTAAAAAGTTATAAATAGTTTTTTTATTAATAAAAAATTTTTATTATAGCCGTTATATTTATTAATAAAATTAATTTATAAATAGTCGTAGTTAATAAAAGGGGTTTTTTATTTAATTTACGGTTTCCTTCGGAGCTTTTAATAATTAAAAATAAATAAGTTTAGGATATTAAGTTTTAAATTTAGTAAAAAGGTTAGTTCTAACTTTTAATTATAATTTTTATTTTTGGTATATGTTTCGCTTTTATTTTTTTAATAGTTTATTATTTTTTAAAATTATTTATTTCGGTCGACTATTTCGTTCGGACGAGGTTTATTAATAATAAAATTAAAATTTATCTTATTATAAATTAGTTTTAAAAAGTAGCTAAATAAATATCTTATATTCTAAACTAATCGATTAACCTTAGTCGAGAAATACCTAATATTTTTATTATTTTTAACGTCTTTTAAATTATAATATAACTAATTAAGTTATTATATAGTAATAGCTTTTAGTATTTTAAAACGTTAATAAAAGAAAAGAGCCTAGGCTTTAAGACCGTATTTAATATTTTTAAATTCTTTTTATTATTATATTTTTAAATTATTAGTATATTATTTATTTACGTTTTTTAATAAATATTTATTTATATTAAAAATAATAGCTTTTATATAAACGGGAGACTGCTTTACGTATTATTAAAAAGCGTTAATAAAATAATCGACGTTAATTTAAATAATTTTTATATTTTTTATTTTTATTTCGCGGGTATTATTATATTTAATTATAAGTTTAAATTGTTTAATATTCTTTATTTAAAAGCGGAAATTTATTATAAAATCTTTTATTAATAAAAAAGGTTATAAATTTTTATTATCGTCCGGGTTATTATTAAAGAAAATTTTAAAATTTTATAATAGGTAGCGGAATAGCGGTCTTTAAGAGCCTTATCCCGTTATTAAAAAAGATAAGTGCTCTATTTTATTATATAAGGGGTCGTATTTATAATCGAACTTAATATTAAAGTCTTTTAATTACTTATAATTTACTTTTTACTAGGCCTATTAGTTTAGATTATTTTAATACTATTTTAGTTTATTTAGATAATTTATTTAACGTTAGGCAATATAAAAAATCGTAATAATTGCGGCCTTATTATCCCCCGCGCTTATTTTTAATATAAACTTTAATATAATTAAGTATAGTTCGATATAAAGTTTTTTTAAAAAATATACGATCTTTTTTTTTTTAAACTAAAGTTCTTTAGCTTAGTAAAGGGAGCGTAATTTATTTTTCGTTTATAAAAATAAAAGGTTATTAAATAAATACGCTATGTTTAATATAAAGTTAATAAGCTAGGTAAAACTTTACGTCGAACTTTATAACTTTTTCTTTTTATTAAATTAATTTAAAATAAAAAATACTTTTTTTTAAATACTTTTTTTTAATTAATAATTATAATAATATAGGGGTTTCCGGCTACTCCGTAATAAAAAAAATAAAAAGATTAATATTTATCTTTAGCGCTAAGGGAATCCCTTTCATTTGTTTTAATAATAGTCTCGGTTTATATAAAAATAAACTAAATAGGATTTCCTTTATAATATTTATAATATTTATAGCGAAAAAAAATAAAAACGCCTTACGCTATTATAAATAAGGATATATTTCGTTTTAATATTTATTTTTATTTTTAAATTATTTAAAGAACGCGGTTTTGAATCTTAATAAGTATATATTTTACGTTTATATATAAGAAATCTTTTAATATATTTAAATACTTTTTTTAAATTTAATAGTTATTTTAGTAATACGTAAGGTTAGAATAATAAAGGCGTTTAGTTAGTTAAGCGTTTTAAGTTAGTAGTAGTTTTAAACGTAGTAATTAATTAGTTAAGTAGCTCGATTGGCGTTCTTAAGTAAAGGGATAATATTAAGATTTTAAAAGAGATAAATAGTATCGTCGCTTTTTATTAATTAAGGATATTTAATAATAGGATTACTGCTTTTTAATTAGCTTATTTTTTTAATAAGGTCGATATTTTTTAGTTAGCTTATTAGAGCTAAAAGAATTAACGTTTTTTAACTCGTCTTTTTAAAATATAAATATATTACTTAGTTCGTTAAAAAAGAGTTATACTATTAATTATTATATATTTTTATATAATAAAAATAAAATAATATATTAATAATCTTTTTTAAGATTTTCTTATTAATTTCTTAACGAAATTTTTTAAATATATTATAAAAGTTTTAAAAAAAACTTTTAAAAAATCTTAAAGATTTCTTTATAATTCTTTTTAAAAAAAATAAAAGAAATCTTAAAGATTTCTTTCTAATTCTTTTTAAAAAAAATAAAAGAAATCTTAAAGATTTCTTTACGATTTATTTTAAAAAAATCTTAAGGAAATCTTAAGGAAATTTTAAACTTTTTAAACGTTTTTTTTAAAAGAAATTTTTAAGAAATCTTAGGAATTTCGTAGCCCTCTTTTCTTTAGGTAACCGTATATGAAAAATAGGAAATTTAATTATAGACCGTAACAATTAGTTTTAATAATATTTAAAATACTAATCGCTTTAAGCTCCCTCTTTTTTAAACTATTAAACAGACTTACTTTAGATCTATTTTTAATACTATATTTAGCTTTATTAATAATAAAAAATTAAAAGTTTTTAGTTTTTCTTAAAAGATATTTACTAACTTATAAATTAATATTTAATCAGTTATTTTATTATTATTATTATAAATTATAATAAGTAAATAAAAGCTATATTAAATAAGTAATTCTTAAACGTTTAATAATAACTTTATATCTACTATATTAATTTTATTATTATATTTGAAGCTAAAGAGAATTCAATTAAAAAACGTAGTTATAATAATAATAGTAATGAATTTAATAATAGAAGATATTAATTATTAATGTAAATAATAGCTATATTAAGTAATAAAAATAAGGCTTATATTAATATACTTATTAATAAGCCCTCTTTTTATATATATCGTAAGGTTTTTATAATATAAAAGCTTATTATTTTTATTAAAATTAAATACGCTTTTCAAAAAGCCTAGACTAAGCTTTATAAAAAGTTTAATAATTAACGCCTAATCTTTTAATATTTCTATATAATATACCTATTTTTAAAAATATAATAGGCCCGCTATTTGATTTAAAAATATTAAAACTTTAGTATTTACGTTATTTTTAATATTAAATTAAATAATGATAATATTGAAATTATTTTTTAAACGGTTTTAATTACTTATATTAACTTATTAATATTATATAAAATATAATTAATAATTAAAAGATATATTTTAAATAAACTTATATTAAAGATAAAATATTTACGAGCCGGGAGTATATAAATATTTATTTTAAATACTTAAGCGAACTTTTAATAACGCTTTTTTTAAAATATTTTATATTAATTAAAAAGTAATATCGGTTAATAAAAAAAATAATACCGTTTAATAAAAGGTTATTCCTAGCCCTTTTTAGATATTATAATCTAAACTATACTATTTTAATTAAACTAAGTATTTTATGTTATTATAAAATCTATTTTAAAATAATAAATTTAATTATTTTTAATAAACAAAAAGTATAACCTCGGTAGCGTTTTTAAAAAAAGTTTTTTTAAATTTATATCGACGGATTTTTAATTTTAAAATTATTATATCCTTCCGTAATAAGCTAAAAAATATAGCGTAGGTTATTTTATTAAAATTAGTGTGATTTAAAACTAGTTAAGTTAATATTACTTATAATAGCTAAGGCGGAAATAATAAATAATAAAGTCATTTATTTAGAAGTAAAAATAAGTCGATATTAATTAAGTTTATATAAAAAATATATTAATTAAGTTAAAGCTAAATATTAAGCTTATTTGAGCGATAAATAAAAAGCTAATTTAGCGTTTTTAATAAAAAGAAGATAATAAAAGATTATATAAATAAACGGTTAATATAACTTAATATTTAAAAAAACGAAATTAATAAAGAATAATTTATAATAACGATAAAATTTTATAATTACGTCGTAAAGAGTAATTAAATAATAAGCTTTTTTAAAAGTTATATAACGTATATTATTAATTAGCCGCGTATATTAATTAACCGCGTATTTTTTTTAACTTTTTAAATATTTTATAAATTTATATAATTGCGACGTAACATATTAATTAGTTTTTATTAATATTTAAATTATTAAACGATTTTATATTTTTAAAATACGTTCGTATATTATAGCTTATTTTATTATATATATTATAACGTTATTAAACCGACCGACTTTTTTTTAATAAACTGTTTTTTTTATTTTTTTAAAATACTAAATGTTTTTTTTTACTTTTCTTTTTTAAATATAATTTAGGATTTTTTTATATTAAATACTTTTTTAAACTAAATACGTGTTTCTTTTACTTTTCGGCGCTTAATAAGCGTTATATTAATATTTTAAAATATACGTATTTAATTTATTTAAATTATAATCGAGTGCGCTATTATTTATGTACTTTTTATTAATTAATTCATTATTTTAATTATTAATATTAAAAAGCTTTTTTAATAAGTTAAAATCTAAAATTTAATAAAGTTAAATTATAAAAGCGCTTCGTAGCGGTTAAAAAGCGTTTATAATTATTAAACTAATAATATCAAAAAATCGGTTATAAAAAGTATAAGCGTTTATATATATATATCGAGCTTTTTAATTATATAATTTAAATCTTACAATAAAGTTTTAGTTTTATAAAAAACGGATTTAATATTTTTATCTAAAAAAACTTTATTATAAGCTTTACGGAAAATAATAAAAAACTCGGACTTTATAATATAATTAATAAAGAATTTAATAAATAAGTTAATTTTATTTTTATATACGCGATTTAAAAGTAAATAAAACGTAATATTTATTAATTGAAATAAATAAGATAAATACAAAGGTATATTAATAATTATAATATTATTTTATTTATAATATTTATTAAATTTAGTCGATAAATAGCTTTTATATTTATTAATTATAAATATTTAATAACTTTTTTTGCGTGGGCCTAAGTATACTCATTAAAATACTTAATCTAGTCTAGGTCAGTTTTATTATTAATCTATTGATTAATAACTGGCTTAATTATTTAAGGGAATTAATACACGAGCATAAACAATTAATACACAGGCATAACTCTTACACAAGTATAATAAATACTTACTATTATTAACTTAAGAAAATATATAGACTATAAATACTTCGTCCTAAAAACGGTAAAAGCTCCTTTATTAATATTTTCTTATCTTAACGTATTTATTTAAATTATTTTATATTAAATTATATTATATTTATTTTTAATTTTTATGCTTTGTATATCTTTTTATTATAATATATAATAAATAGTAAATTAATATTAAATTTTACTAAAGCTTTATTGAAATAATTACGTCCGTTAAAAGACGGCTTTATTATTATTATTAATTAATATTTTTTATTTATACCTCCTCTTTTAAATACTTATTTATAATACCCGTTTATTAATTTATACTTTTATAAATTTCCTTATATTAAATTTATTAAACTAATTTTTAATTTAAAATTATAATAAAGTTATAAATTAGCTATTTTTTTATTACTTTTTCTTTTATATAAATTTTATAATAATTGTTTTATTATAGCTTTTTAGCGGACGGCCTTATTAAGTTATTTTAAAAACTATTAATAATATTTTCTTATATTAAACTTTTAAATTATTATCTTTTTATATAATTAATTAATTAAAAATAAACTATATTAAATTCCTTAGCCTATTATAAAAAAATATAATAATTTTAAAATTTAAAATCCGACGATATAAGTTTTTTAAAAACGGTTCTTTTAGTTTTTAATAAAAATAAACGTCTTATTTTATAAAAAATATCCTAATTAAAAGTTTTATATAAATTATATAATAATAAAAAATAGTTAATTATATTGAGATAAAATAATCGTTTATATAATCTTTAATAAAAAAAGGCCGTAGATAATTATCGGTCGGTAATATTATTTTTATTATTCGGTATTATTTTATAATTAATTTTAAATATTTTAAAAAAAGTATACTTCGGAGTTTATTTAAATATTTAAAATTAACTTTAATATATTAATAAATAATTAATATTTTATCCTTTATATAGGACTATATAAACTATAATTTTTAATTTTAAATTATATTTTATATAATATTAATAAGTCGATATAAATAACTTAGGCTATTAAAGAAATAACTTTTAATATTATTATTATTAAACTCGGTTTTTAAAATAATATAAATATTAAAATTTAATATTTTTAAATATAATAACGAGCTTATTAAACTTTAATAAAAAAGTATATTTTATAAAAATAACGTAATATTAATTATTAATTATTAAACTCTTTATAAAAACTATTTTATATTTTTTTAAAAATTACCTCGGTTTTAATAAAAATAATAAGCTTTTATATTAAAAAAACTTTATAATATATATAAAAGATTAAATTATTAATAAGTATATAAATATATACTTGATCCTCGTCGTTTAGTTCTATTATTAATATTTTTAAAAGCTTAATATTAGTTTTATAATCCAAATTACTGCCGGTACTCTTTAGCTATTTTTTTTTATTTACTTTTATTTAGTTTTAAATATAATATTAAAATTAATATAATAAATATAAAGTTATTATTATACGTCGGCGAACTTATAAATTAAAACGGCCTTTATCTATTTATTATAGTTAATAATAATAATATTTAATAAATAAATTAAATACTAATTAACTAATTAACGAATACTTTTTATAAAGAACCGGAACCTTTTTAATTTTTTATTATTAATAAAGCCGAATACTACGTTAAAAATAAATTTAATATATATTTAATTAGTAATTTAAAATAATAAAAGTTTAAAATAATTCGTATTATATATATTATTAAAGCTAATTACCTTTAAAAAGCGCCTCTATATTAAAAAATAAAATAAAAATATATATATTAAATTAATAAACCGATTAGGCTCGTTATTAGCCTATTTTATAATATAAAGCACCTCTCGCTCATTAAAAAGCTTTATTAAAACGGTTATTAACAAATAGCCGTTTAATTTCTCCCTATTTATAAAGGCTTTAATATTATAAATATCTTATTAAATAAATACGGAATTTAAAAATTATTTTTAAAAAATAATATAAATATCGTAGGCTTTAATATTAACCCGGCGGTTAATAATTTTAATAACGCTTTTAATTAATAATATAAGCTTTTAATATAAAGAATATATTAAAAAACTAAAGCTTAACTTATAGTTATATTAAATATACTCGGTTTTAATATACTATTATAAAAACTCAACGTCTTTTTTTTTTATTTTAATAATAATTATTTATTTATAATTATACTTTCGTAATTTTTATTAATATAACCTTATATTTTTAATAAACCGCGGTTTATTAAAGTGATTATATTAAAATATATATTTTATTTTTTTATTTTTATATATATATTTATATTAACGAATAATATTAAACCTGTTTTTTTTAATAAATACGTTAATTTAGTTAAATAAGGCGTCGATTTTAAACTTTAAATTACCGGGAATTTATAAATTTAAAATTAAATTAAGTAAAAATAAAAATGAGTATTAATTTAAAGAATAAAAACTTTATAATAATAAAATTATTAAATTTATTTAAAAATTAATAAAAACGTATTTTAAATAATAAAGAAAGGAATATAAAGGTAAGGGTAATAAAATAAACGTATTAAATAGGTATAGTAAATAACCTTATTTTTATTGTTATTATCGAACTTATTTAAAAAAATTAAAAAGTTTTTTAATTAATTATTATTTTTCTTTTATTATTCTTTAACTATTAAACTTTTTTACAAAAGTAGTTTATATAGGTTAATGTTTTTCGTTTTATAAAGTAAATTTAAAAATAGGATATAATAAGAATAGACCGTATTTTAAGCTAAGTATTAATATAATAATTCGATAGGTTTAAATAGTTATCGTCGGAAATATTTTATAAAAAAAGATTTTATAATTATTTTATATTTTAATAAATATTACGTCGTTTTTATATAAACCGTAAAATCGAATAATTTAGTAAAACCGGTCTAAATAAAAAAAAAAAAATTTTTAAACGTATTATCGTCGTTAAAGCTATAATAATTATTAATATTTATATTTAAATATTAATAATAAAAAGGCGCAAAGTAAAAAAATATTTTTTATATTATTGTTTTAAATTAAGCTTGTTATTTAAGTTTAAGTTTTTAGCTCGACGTAGCGGGTTATATTTTAATAAAAGAGGGGCGGACTTAGGTATAAAAGATTTTAATATAAATAATATAATAATAAATTTTTAATTAAATAGACGACGCGTTGCGATTATATATTAAAAAAATTCCTAAATATTTTAAATAGGACCGATAGAATTAAAATAGGGTAATAGCTTTTTTAAGCTAATAATAATAAGTATTTGTTATACCTATATAAAAGTTATGCCCGTATATTAATTATTTATGCCCGTGTATTAATTCCCTTATTTAATTACTTAGGAACCCGGATTCCGTTAATTAATTAATAAAATAATAGGACTTTTAAACAATTATAAAAAGCGGGATACATTACTTTTTTAAATTAATATATTTAAAAATTATAATTTATTTACGGTTATTAAGTTAAATAGATTTCGTTTTTTTATATTTATCAGTATATATAATAATTATTAACCCGGTAATAACGTTTATTATAAAGCTAGTTTTATTAAAGTTATATAGATCTTGCTCATTAGTACCGTATTTAATTATTATATTATTTAATAATATAAATTATTTTAAAATAACTTTTAAATCCTTTTAAAAGGCCTTTTAATAATTATCTCAACGATTAAATTTAGTTTTTAAAATCGGCTATAAGTTAATAAACTTTTCAATTTAATATTTTTTAATAAGCGTTTTATTTCGCGTCCGAAATAGGAAATTAGCTATATTTTTTATATTAATAAGTTATAAAAAAAATCTTTTAAAATCCTGTTTAATAACGTATTAAAAAAGTATTTTTTTAATCGGATTAAATTTATATTATTAAGGTTAGATTTAGTCGCGGCGTAATTAATTATATATTTTATTAAGAATTGATATAGAGGTATGTAGAATTAATACAAAGGTATACACCTTATAGCGGCATGTATATCTACTACCTTAATTAGCTTAAAATTTTATTATTAATACATTTAAATTCTACCGGTCTATTCCTATATATTCTCCTTATTTTAAATTCTTTTTATTATCGTAGTTTTTATATTTAATATTAACGTATATTATTTTTAATAACTAAACTTTAGCGTAATTTACGCCGCTATGCTACGGAATATAACCTTAATAACGTAATATATTTTTTAAAACGCTAACGTATAAATATATTATTATCTTTTTTTTTAATCGGTAATTATTTTAATATCGGTTAATTTTATAAAGTTAGCGATTTTTAATTATATAATAATTTAATTAGCGACTTATTAACTGAGCTATTATAAGAAATACGATTATTATTTTATTATTAGCCCTATTACTTTAGAATCGAATTAAGACTCTACTTTAGGCGCCCTTTCCTTAATAAAACCGATTCCTTTTAATTTATTATATTATTTCGATTTTTACTTACCTATAGCGCCCCCCCTCCCGATACCGAGCAGTTTAAATCTATATTTTATTTTATATACCGTTTTTTAAAAAGGATATAAAATACTTAACATATTACTCTTTTTTATATCTTATTAAAATAAAGTCTATTGTCCTCCGATAATAGTTATTAAGACCTTTAATAACGTATTTTAATAATATTTTTAAATTTATTTAATAGGTTATTAATATTAATAAAAAGTTAATAACCGCCCTTTTTTAACAATACGAGCTAAGCCGCTATTAATAAAAGACGTAAAGTTTTTAAATAAACCTATTACCCTTATATTTACTTTTATAATAAGACCTTTTTTTAAATTTATTATTTTTCTAAATTATAGCTTTTTATTAAATTTAATTTAAGAAATCCTCCTCCCCCTTTTTAAACGCTATCCTAAACCTATCGATCTTAAGTAGCCTAGAGCTTATTGTAAAAGCCTTTTTTAATTAATTTAATATATTTACGAAGGTTAATAAATTCGGTATTATAAAATAGTATAAATATACCTTTTAAATAAGTCGGCTTATACGATACTTATTTTAATATAATCGATTTAATAAACCTGGGTTTTTAAAAAGTATAAGTATTTAATAATAAAGGTTTTAAAAATACGGCTATTAATAATAAATAATTATAAAAGCGTAAAAAGAAGAGAAATAGCTTTTACGTTACTTATTAAACCCTTATTATAGTTAATATAATTATTAATTAAACTTTAAAATATCTACCTACTTTTTATACCGAAAGCTTACTTAGTTTATTAAGGATTTTATTAAAAATATAAGCCGTCGTATTAGTATTTAAATACGTAATATTTATATTATTATATAAAAATAATTCTTAAATTCTATATTTACTTAGCGCGATATTTATAACGCTAAAGTATATTTAAATTAAAAAAAGCTAAACGGTTATTTATTAACGGCCGTATTAATTAAGTTATTTAATAAGCGATAAATTCCTTATATTATTAAATAGGTTAATAATAAGCCGGACCGCTTTATTAAGCTTATTTAGACTTTTTTTATTATTTTTAAATATAAAAGCGATTCTTAAAAGTAATTAGCTTTGATAATACTTATAATACCAATCGCTTTAAGCTTTTATTATTCTAAATAACTAAATAAACGTACTTTAAATCTGTTTATAATATAGTATTTAATTTTATTAATAATAAAAAGTTAAAAGGCTTTCGATTTCTTTTTAAAATTATAAAATAACTAATCGATTAATACTTAATTCGTCGCCTTATAATTATTATTATAAACTATAATAAGTAAATAAAAGCTATACTTAGTGAAGAGTTTTTAAATACTTAGTAATAGCTTTATATTTATTATATTAATTTTAACATTATATTTAAAACTAAATAAAAATAAATTAAAACCGGCGGTAATAATAATAATAATAGTAAGTTTAATGAAAAGGATCTTTATTTAATAATATAAATAGTAGCGGAGCTTAGCAAAGAAGATTATATTTATATTAATACGATAGTAAATTAAGTTATTTTATATATTTATTACGGGGTATTTATTATATAAAAGCTTATTGTTTTTATTAAAATAAAATAATTTTTTAAGAAAGCGTAGAGAAAGCTTTATAACGAGTTTAATAATTAACGCCCGATCTTATAATACTTATATTTAATATATTTATTTATAAAAGTATAATAGGCTTATTATTTTATTTATTAATATTAAAACTTTAATATTTATATTACTTTTAGTATTAAGTTTAGTAATAATAATATTAAAGGCTATTTTTTTAATAGTTTTAATTATTTATATCGGCTCGTCGACGTTATATAGGATATAATTAACGATTAAGAGTTGTGTTTTCGTTAGGCTTATATAGAAAATAAAGTGTTTACCGGCCGGGATTATTTTAGCCCCTATTTAAAATATTTTAATAAATTTTAAATTATAGTTTCGTTAAGGTATTTTAAATTAATTACTAAATATACCGGCTTATATATAAAATAATACTTTTTAAAAAAAAGCCGTTTTTACTCTTTATTAAAGAGTATAATAATAATTATTTTATATCGATTAAGCTAAGTATCCCGTATTATTATAAAACTTTTTTAAAAATAATAGAATTATTAACTTTTAATAAATAGGAGGTTTTTTTATAGTAGCGGTTTTAAATAATATTTTCTTTTAATTTTTATTATTGGATTTTAAACTTAAAAATTATAACGTTTTTTTATAATAAACTAAAGAACATAGTATAGTAAATTCTTATAAAGCTTACGTTACCGTAATAAAGTTAATAATTTAATATTAAATTACCGTAATATAGGATAACTAAAGCTCGACTAACTATAAGCAAAGCCGCCCGCTAAGAAACTATAATAAATTATCGTTAGCTAAGAGCTTATAAAAAGCCGGCTATTTAATTTTTAATTAGGCCTTAAATTAATCTTAATAGTAAATAAAAAGTCAGTCTAATATATTTAATAAAGAAAAGATAATAAAAGGTTATATAAATAAAAAGCCGTTATAATTTAATATTTAAAAGCGGTAGAGTAAGTAAAAACTAATATTAAATAACGGCGAGTAAAAGAATTTACGATTATATTATTTTATTTATTATTTAAATAATTTATTATAAATTAACGCTATAATTAAAGTAAAAGTAATTATTTATTTATTTTTTTATTACCCTTAAGGACTTTATAAATATTTTATAAGGAATAACCTAGGGTATATATTATTTAGCAAAAGTTTTAGAATTATTAAGTTATTAAAATATTATTATAAATACCTTTACCGTTTTTACGGGAATATATTATAATTTTAAGTTAATTAAGATGGTAGATGTGTATGCCGCTATGAGGTATATATTTTTATATTAATTCTATATACCTTTATATTAATTCTTATTTTATTATATAAAGTGTTTTTAAAAATATTATATATTTTTATAGCGCGTTATATATTAAATTTTTAATTTATAACGCGTATAGCTCGGATCGTTTTAATAGTAAAAATAATCTTATTTTTTTAAGTATAGATTAATATTGTAATTATTAAGTTATTATGTATTAAAAATTTAAATAGTTAAAAATAAAGTACGTTATAGAAAAAGTGTGCGGCTGATTAATATATACGGCTGATTAGTAAAGTACGTTAATATTTATTTAAAATTTATAAAATTATAATAGAAATAAGTTTTAATATATAATTTTAGAAATTTTAAATAAAAGTTTAAAAAAAAAAAAAGGTAAAAATAATTATATTAATATAATTACTTTTACCGTTTTTATAAAAACATATTGTTTTTTTAAATTAGTTAAGAAGCCGAATAGCGACGCCGGTATAAAAGCGACGCCGGTATATTAATTTACGACGCCGGTATATTAATTCTTTAATAATAATAGGTTTAATAAAAAAGTTTTTATTTAATAATATAAATAATAATAGAGTTTAATAAAAAAACGGCGCTTTTATTAATATAATAGTAAGTTAAACTATTTTATATACTTATTATAAAATATTTATTATATAAAAATCTATTATTTTTATTAAAATAAAATAATTTTTTAAAAAACCGTAAAAAAAACTTTATAATAAATTTAATAATTAACGCCCGATTTTATAATATTTATATTTAATACATTTATTTATAGAAATATAATAAGCTCGTTATTTTATTTATTAATATTAAAATATTAATAGTTATATTATTTTTAATATTAAATTAAATAATAATAATATTAAAAACCATTTTTTTAACACTTTTAATTATTTATATTAGTTTATTAATAATATATAAAATATAATTAATAATTAAAAGCTATATTTTTATTAAGTTTATATAAAAAATAAAGTATTTATTAGTTAATATTATATTATAATTTATAACTAAATTTCTTTTTTTTTATATATAGTTATTTAAGAAAAAAGAAAAGTTATAAAATTTTTAAAATTTCTTAAAAATCTTTTTTTAAAAAAGTATTTAAAAAAACTTAAAACTCTTTTAAAATTTCTTTAAAATTCTTTTAAAAAAAATCGTAAAGAAATCTTTAAAATTTCTTTTATTTTTTTAAAAAAGAATTATAATGAAATTTTTAAATATTTTAAAAAGTTTTTTTTAAAATCTTTATAATATATTTAAAAGATTTTATTAAGAAATTTATAGGAAAATCTTAAGAAAGGGTATTAATATATTATTTTATTTTTATTATATAAAAACGTATAATAATTAATAATATAATTCTTTTTAAATAAATTAAATACTTTATTTATATTTTAAAAAAACGAGTTAAAAAGCGGTAACTTTTTTAAATTTAATAAATTAATTAAAAAGTATCGACCTTATTAAAAAAATAAGCTAATTAAAAAGCCGTAATTTTATTATTAAATATTTTTAATTAATAAAAAACGATAATATCATTTATCTCTATTAAGATTTTAATATTGTTCTTTTACTTAAAGACGCCGATCGAGCTATTTAACTAATTAATTATTATATTTAAAACTACTACTAGCTTAAGGCGTTTAACTAACTAAACGCCCTTATTATTTTAATTTTATATATCGTTAAAATAATTATTAAATTTAAAAAAAATACTTAAGTATATTAAAAGATTTTTTATATATAAACGTAAAATATATGCTTATTAAGATTTAAAATTACGTTTTTTAAATAGTTTAAAAACGAAAACGAATATTAAAATAAAATATATCCTTATTTATAATAACGTAAAGCGCTTTTATTTCTTTTCGTTATAAATACTATAAATATTATAAAAGAAATCCTATTTAATTTATTTTTATAAAAACCGAGGCTATTATTAAAATGAATAAAAAAAACTCCCCCGGCGTTAAAAGTAAGTATTAATCCTTTTATTCTTTTTATTACAAAATAGCCGGAAACCCTTATATTATTATAATTGTTTACTAAAGGAAAAGTGTTTAAAAAAAATATCTTTTATTTTAAATTAACTTAATAAAAAAAAAGTTATAAAGTTTAACATAAGATTTTACTTAGCTTCTTAATTTTATATTAAATATAATATATTTATTTAATAACCTTTTATTTTTATAAATAAAAAATAAATTACGCCCCTTTTTATTAAGTTAAAAAACTATAGTTTAAAAAATAAAGATTGTATATTTCCTAAAAAAATTTAAATCGAATTATATTTAATTATATTAAAATTTATATTAAAGATAAACATAAGGGATAACAAAGCCGTAATCGTTACGATTTTTTATATTGTATAATATTAAATAAATTATTTAAATAAATTAATTAAAAATAGTATTAAAATAATTTAAACTAATAGGCCTAATAAAAAATAAACTATAAGTAATTAAAAGACTTTAATATTAAATTCGATTATAAACACGACCCCTTATATTATAAAATAAAGTATTTATTTTTTTTAATAATAAAATAAAACTTTTAAAAACCGTTATTTTATTACCCCTTATAAAATCCTAAAAATTCCTTTAATAATAACTTAAATAATAATAAAGATTTATAACCCTCCTTACCGACAAAAGATTTAATAATAAATTTCCGTTTCCGAATAAGAAATATCGAATAATTCGAACTTATAATTAAATATAATAATATTTATAATATAAAAATAAAAAACGTAAAGATTATTTAAATTAACGTCGATTGTTTTATTAACGCTTTTTAACGATATATAAAGTAGTTTTTTATTTATATAAAAGTTATTATTTTTAACTTAAATAAATACTTATTAAAAACCGTAAATAAGTAGTATACCGACGATTTAAAAAATATAGTAATAAAAAGAACTAAAAAACGTTAAATATAGTTTTAAAGCCTAGGGTCTTTTCTTTTATTAACGTTTTAAAATATTAAAAACTATTATTATATAATAACTTAACCGGCTATATTATAGCTTAAAAAATATTAAAATCAACAAAAATATTAAATATTTTTTAGCTAAGGTTAGTCGATTAGCCTAAAATATAAGATATTTATTTAATTACTTTTTAAGATTAGTTTATAATAAAATAAATATTAACCTTATTATTAATAAACCTTATCCAAATAAAATAGTTAATTGAAACGCATAATTTTAAAAAATAATAAATTATTAAAAAAGATAAAAGCGAAACGTATACCGAGGATAGAAATTATAATTAAAAACTAGAACTAACCTTTTTACCGGATCTAAAACTTAATATTTTAAATTTACCTATTTTTAATTATTAAAAGCTTTTAAAAAAAACTATAAACTAAATAAGAAACCCTTTTTATTAATTATAACCGTCCGTAAATTAATTAAATCAATAAATATAACGGCCGTAATAAAAATCTTTTTATTAATAAAAAGACTATTCGCAACTTTTAAAAAATAACTTAAATCGCTTAAAATAAAAATAACTTATTTATAAGTATTAAAAAAAGGGAATATATATTATTTAAGACGTATATATTTAAAACGAGGATGGTATAATAAACATAGCTATTTAAAAATAAATATAAAATAAAGGTTTTTACGTAATAAATATATTCTATATTAATTTATAAGTAGACGCTATAGACTTATTAAGTTAAAACGACTTAACTATAAAAGACAAGGAGCCTAAAATATTAAAAAATACCGCAGTAAAAAAGGCTATAAGTAAAGATTTAAGTTAAGTTTTCCAGTGCTATCTAAGGCTTTGTACGTAGTAGATATTAATATAAAATAAAATAAGAGTTATTTTCGTATTTAAAAGCGATATTTTTAAAAAGAATAGATTAATATACGTATACTTACTTTTTTTTATATTTTTTATAAAACTACGTATTTATTATTATATTATTATATTAATTTTTTTATATATCTATTTACCCCATATATTAAACCTTATTTTATAATAAAGCTTTTTAAAATATAATTTTTATAATAATTGAAATTATCGTATTAATAAAGATTTTGCGATCAAAATTAATTTTTATATAATAATAATTATTATAATTTATAATTAAATTTTTTATTTTTTATATAGAATTATTTAAAATAAAAGGCTACGAAATTTTTAAAATTTCTTAAAAAAATTTTTAAAAAAAACGTTTAAAAAAGTTTAAAATCTTTTAAAAAAATTTAAAATCCTTTTAAAAAAATTTATAAACTTTTTTTTAAATTTTTTAAAAAAGAATTTTTAGAATTTTTATAATATATTTAAGAGATTTCGTTAGGAAATTTATAGGAAAATTTTAAAAAGAAGTATTAATATATTATTTTATTTTTATTATATAAAAGAGTATAATAAATTATTTTAACCCTTATTTAAAATATTTTCATAAATTTTAAATCATAATTTTATTAAAATATTTTAAGTTAATTATTAAATAATATAAATTTATATATAAATTAATATTTTTTAAAAAAAAACGTTTTTATTCTTTATTAAAAAATTTAATAATAACTATTTTATATTAATTAAATTAAATATTTTATATTATTATAAAAGCTTTTTAAAAATAATAAAATCGTTAACTTTTTATAAATAAAAGCTTTATTTATAATAACGGTTTTAAATAACGTTTTTTTTAATATTCATTATTAAATTTTAAACCTAAAAATTATAATATTTTTGAATAATAAACTAAAGAATATAATATAATAAGTTTTTATAAAGTTTACGCTATTTTAATAAGGTTAATAATTTTAATATTAAATTATTATAATATAAAATATTTAAGGCTTAATTAATTATAAACGAGGCCGCTAATTAAAAAGCCGTAATAAATTGTTTTTAATTAAAAACTTAGAAAAGGCCGGCTATTTAATTTTTAATTAAACCCTAAATTAATTTTAATAATAAATAAAAAGTTAATTCAATATTTTTAATAAAAAAAATAATAAAAAGTTATATAAATAAAAAGCCATTATAATTAATAATTAAAAACAGTAGAATAAATAAAAAATAATATTAAATAATAGTAAATAAAAGAATTTACGATTATCTTATTTTATTTATTATTTAAATAATTTATTATAAATTAATATTATAATTAAAGTAAAAGTAATTATCTTTTTATTTTTTCGTTATTTTTAAGGATTTTATAAATATTTTATAAAGAATAATTTAAAGTATATATTATTTAATAAAAGTTTTAGAGTTATTAAGTTATTAGAATATTATTATAAATATTTTTATAGCTTTTATAGAAATATATTATAGTTTTAAATTAATTAAGATAATAAATATATATACCGCTATAAGGTATATACTTTTGTATTAATTTTGTTTATTTTATATTAATTCTTTATTATAAATATAATTTATAAAAGCTATATATTTATTAAACAAGCTTTTACCCAATTTATAACGATTATAAATAATAATAATATTATATACGTTATTATAAATTTAAGTTTAAATAGAATCGGTAGTTTATAAGCGTATGTAATTAATTATAATAAGGATCGAGCGATTATATTTAGTAATTTTAAAACGTAGTTTAATAATCCGTTTTAATTAATAATATATAAATTAATACGGAATTATATAAGTAAATAAAAAAATATATAATTTACGACGGCTTTATTAACGTTATATAACTTAGAAAACGCTATTAAAACGTAAATAGCCGATTTTATATAATTATATTAAATATTATATATTTAAAACAAATTTTATATATAAATATACGTACGGTTTATAAATCAAGAAATTATAATTAGAAAATTAAAGCCTTGTAGGTATATTATAAGCTATTATACGGGATAGTTTAAGATTTCAACGGTCTCGATCTTTTCTAAAATTAATTATATAGCTATTATAAATATTATATAATATAAAATAATAATATAATTATCTATATAATAATACTAATATATGTATATAAATAATCATAACTAGGAAAGTATTAATAATTTAAAAAAAAGAAAAAAAAAGTTTTTTTAATAAATAATTTTTTAAATATAGTTAGGATTTGAGATTTTAATAAAGTAATAAACTGAATAAAATAAATAAATAAAATAAAAAAAATATAATTATATATAAGGGTATATAAATTTATAAAAAGCGGGGTAAGATAATTTATTTTTTTTAAAATTAATTAAAATAAAAATAAATAAAAAAGTAAATATATTTTAAATAAACTACTTAAATAATTAATAAAATTATTATAATTACTTTTATATAATTTATAAATTATAAAATATTTTATAATATTATATAATAATAAATATTAAATATAGTTAAATAGGTAGATAATCTGGGCTTCCGAACTTATTAACGCTATAGAATAATATATTTATTAAAAATTTTGTTTTAGTAGAGTGCCTCCTGTAGTCTGCCGTATACACCACCCACCTCGGTGGATAGCCGGCAGGGTGGGGAACAAACAGCAGCGCCAACCCAAACAACCTTGCCCGATTGCGTTAAAGTTGGCATTTTGGTGAACGACCAGCAAACTAGTGAACAACCAGCAGCGCCAACCCAAACAACGTAAGCTAAAGGGATTGTAAAAAATAGATCTAGGGCCGCCAAGGCCCCTCCCGCCGTACTATTTCCCGCGACTTTCCACCGGTCCCTGGGAGGTCCTCCTTGGGCCTCCCAGTCTCGGAAGACTTATACATGCCGCGTTCCTAGAATAGCAGTCTATCCCCCAGCCCATAACATCCTCCACCAAGTCTTCTCCGAGAGGTACGCCCAGGCGGAGAGAGATCATAGAGGCCACCATAGAGTTTAGGCCAATACTTCCTCGTGATGCTGTTCCCACGGAGAGTAGATGAAGTAGCAATCTCCAGCAGCTTCATCAGCAGGGACAGATCAACACAATCGGCTTTGAGATCGGCCTGGCGTGCTCTGCCGAAGGAATCCTCCCCAAAGGAGTAGGTCATAAGAAAGAGCCCGCCTAGCCTCCTAACCTTACGCGGGATCTTCCAGAAACGTACCCGGAATCCGTCCTCGTGTAGCTTCTCGATCTCGAGGACGAGGGTGACCACGACTACTTCGTTGACTCCCACGAATTCGACGATTTCAACGACCCGAACGAGGAGCGGTGGTCTCTTTCGTATCCTACGGCCTCTAGTCCAGTGACCTGAGGGGGTCTGTGAACCGCGCGATGGCCTCACTTTCATTTCAGACGCCGCTGATCGTTTAGTTCACCGCCAATCAGGCGAACCATGAATGGAGGTTGGAGTATATACTTAGTCGAGGCCCCCTTTTCTGAACCGCTTCACTTATTAGCCGCGCTGCTGGTAAACAATCGCCGGCTCGGAGGCCATTTTGGGCTATAAGGCATCCCGGGAGAGGGGTAGCGAAGCTAGCAACAACGACGAGAACAGTTAAGATCGGGGACCGCATTTTAACGTTTAAAAATTAGGTAAGGGATGATTGGCGATATGTCAGAATAAGTAGATGGACTCATAGAGTCTTGGAGTGGCTTGTGGAGGAGGCACGGCAAAACGGGTTTGTGAGGGCTATTCACCCCTGTTGGCGAGGCCGACAATAACGATCGCGGCCTGACTATAAACCCCCCCTATGGAACCGAGATCGAACCCGAACAATAGAAAAGCCGATGAATAAGACCCGAGGTTGCCGTATCCCGAACGGATGGTACGAATCTTATTTAGTACGATTCCTCACCGTTCGCGTCGGTTCCTGAGTTTATTGCGTATTTGCAATGAGCTTCGTTCTCACTGGCGGGGGCCGTCGTCCCGTGGCTGATCATTGCGAACCTTTGTTGGGTTGGGCCATCGGCATTTTTGACGTGACCGAAGCCTGAGTCTCACAGCGCTACCCCTGCTAATCGTATTGAGCGTGTGCACCTGAAGGGCCATTTTTTCTGATGTGAGAAACTTTAATATACAGCTCTGTGTCTACCACATGCAGCTTCACTCTGTTTTTGTTTTATTCTCCAAAGCTAAGAACCTAGCCGTGGTAGGTTTAGAGGAACGCTTTCCTTTTCCCACCGCGCAGCACTTAAGCAGCGTGGTGGTAGACGCGTTATTGATTAGTTAAGTAGTCGGCGCCAGTAGGACGCGATGTCTCGGAGTCCGTCAGCGGCGGGTAGGCGCCCACTGCCATCTTCACTTTCCTAGCGGATATAGCAGCCTTTTCCTTAGCAGGGGCCACGTCTTATTAATTTACTAAACGGTTCGGCCGGTTCGCGTGGGGGGGGGGGGGGGGGTCAAGGGAGGGGGAGCGGCGGCTGGTTTAAGATTGTAGAGCCCCTACGTGACCATGTCCTGATTCGAATAGGCGGGGGGGGGGGGGGGGGGGGGGGGGGGGGGGGGGGGGGGGGGGGTAACAGGACTGGTGACCCTGGTTCGTTTAATCTTTGACTCGACCGCAAAAGGCTTATTCTTGCCACGGCTGTGCCGTAGGGTGAGGGGCCAGTTCAATCCCCGGTGATCCACTAAGGCAGTCTTGAAAAGCTGCAACGCGAAAGGCCGAGCTCAACCGTCGAAAGTAAAGATAAGACTATTAAGAACATTAAAAAAAAATAGTCTCGTCGCGCCCGCTAGATACTTCGGAGGGGGTTTTTACTTTGGCCTACAACTATAGTATGTATCCGTCTAATCAGCCCTTGTACCTTTGAATCGGTAGTCAGATCATTCAGGAACGACTTAGTCGCAAAGCAAAGTATCTAAAGTAGTTTAGAACCATAGTAGCTCCATCCTCGCAGAACAAGGTTTGGCTATCATCAACGTTATATCACTATCCGCACGGCATAATTGTGCCGGGTCCCGTTCATCCTCGTATAGCGTTTGCTTTGACGAAGCCTAAGGAGTCGGCGAGCGTATTGCTCCCGTTCGTGGAGGCTGCGAGAGGGAGACGAGGCGAGCTCGGAGCACGGTATCGAATTTGGGCCCTAGGCACTCAACCAAGGAGAAGACGGCCTCTAACCTTCCGGTTAAGAACGGCAACACAGCCCAATCAGTCTCCTACTAATATAGTAACTTCAGACGGCTACGCTAAAGTCGCCTATCTGCTCACGTATTTCGAAACGACTGATTTTGTAAGATACCGCGATCATGATTCTTAAAGTAGCGTAAAAGGTTACTTATGCCGTAGTCTTAAGCTTTTCCTAAGGTTGCACTCGTGGCGCCGTATGTTCCACCTCCCCAAGCTAGGTAAGACTAGTGTTCGTGGGTGTTCATCAGAGCTGCTACTAAGACCCACTTACTAGCTTATAAATAATTATCATCATGAACTAACTTTTTTCTAAATATATTAATACGAAAATGTTTCTTTGTTTATAGCGCGTAGGAGAAGGAAAGCCTTTTCGTTAGTTATCGTTTAGGTTACTATTGCCTTGCCGATACTGGCTATTATTGCCGGCTCGGGGTCTACGGTATATGTAGGTACCATGGTCAGGCCTATGCGCTCACAGCGTACCTACGTCTTCGCAACGGTTACTGCACTATTTAGGACTTTTATACGAATTAATGTCCAGAATTTATATCATACCCACGGCTAATCGAGATTCGGACTCCGGACTTACGATTATACGGCCTATCTCAAGTCCTATTAAATAATCTGGTTTCCTATAAGACGTAAACCACGGTAAGGGGTTCGTTTATGCCCAGCTACTTAGAATGCGAACTGATGTACGGCGCCTAGGGTGGAGAACGAAGTCGAATATTCATTGCTATAGACCCTTTCCTATAGCAAACGTGGTTGCCCTGCCCTCGGGCCACGAGGAAGACAATGATTCATCAACGCCACAAGGACTATCCCTCTGTGAGAGTGCTCGGGTGTGTCCAATGCAGTACCTACTCGGGTACGCTCTCACCCTACAGGCATATAAGACCTAAAGACAAAAGCGAGAAGAAGAAGGAGACAGAGGCCGTCACATGCCACGATGTAGCGCGTAGCTTTATCCTGAGGATTTTTGTCGAACCTAAACTGAAGTTATTTAATATAGTGCAGAGTCTAGTTCGTGCGAGGGGACAAAAAGGCCAGCTCCCCTAGGATGTCCACTTACCTGCGAAGTATATTGCAGGGTATACCTTAGCCAAGTCTTCCGTCGTAGATTATAGTAGTATCTGCAATATGCAACGCCAGCCACAAGCGTTTTCCTATCTAGGTCAAGGATATATTTTCCTCCCTCCGTACTAAGACTGCGACTATTTCACCTTTTATAACGCGCCAGCCCACCCCGTCAAGCGCTGGCTCACCCTATCAACCACCAACTCGTTCTGTCTAGTATCAGCTTACTCCAGAATGCAATCAAGCAGACTCTCCTCCATGCGTGTTCATGTACTCGGAGCCACGTCCTGTCTCATCGCACTGGCGCTGGCTGCAGTCGTCGATCAACCGGCGACTGCTCCCCGCCACACCGGTCCTGGACTCACTATCAGGCAACCCGACGTCCCCATCCCGGCGGGCAAATGCGCCGATTACTTCTGCGCAGCGATCGGGACGATCACGATAGCCATCAATCTCGATTGCAATCACTTCTGCCAAATCCACTGCAATGCCTTCGTCAGCCAGGCCGAACCTCTGGTCACGAGTTATCTCAGATTATGCACGTTGGATGGAGAGGTCCTCCTCTCTTCGTCAGCTTCCTATGTGTTGTCAGAAAGTCTCAACCCCCCTTGTGAATGCAAAGACTGCAGATGCCGATGCCCGTACGAGATCGACAATGTAGAGGGCATTGACATAGGTTTCCCGGTTGATTGTACGGTACAGAAGCTGTGCGGGAAAGTCCAGAGTTCGGTTGGCGGTTGGCAGCCGGGTACCTCGTTCCGCGGGGATCTTTACGCTTGCGGCCACTAGGCAAACTAGCCAAACCCAACACCGAAGCCGAAACCGCCAAGGAGTCGCCCGATGCTCCTACGCTAGCATCGTTGGGCCGGCTGGATTGATCAGGGTTGCCGCCACCTTCTGCCGAGACAGAATGGAATATCGACCATGCCGGAATGGATAAAGGTTGGAGTGAACGGGTTTTCAATGAAACGATCGGACGAGAAAGAAGCTGTCGCAGAATGGATGTAGGCTAGACCAAACGGACGTGAATGAAAACAGGCTGCAGAAAGAAAGTGCAATCAAAGAATGCCTTACCGGCTCTGGCCATCTATCTATACAGCCAACCTACCATACTGTGCACGCCGGACCGTACCATACCTTAGTCCATGGAAAACGCCTACCACAGAGGACATCAGAGCATAAGTTAGGGTAGAGCCTGCCCAACAGGAAGGGGGCAGAATCCGTTGGCACTTTCATCGCCACAACTTGCGTGACCTACATGCATCGGAAGCTGCCATCTCGGAGATTGTCCCTCTCCAGCTCCTTCAAGGCAGACGCTAGGCTATCACTTTCGACTTACTCGGTAAACAATACCAGCTTGTCGGGGTCCGACCGGTCAATGCATCCGCCGACCAATGATGGAGCAGCGGGATGTGTAGGGCACGTGCGTCTTCTGGTCCTAGCGCGCTCGTTCGTCAGCCAACGTCTGTCACGCCCACTCTTATTCCGACGTATTCTCTACAGTGGCTACCCCGTCGCATTGAAACAAGAAGTCTGTGAAGGAAGGACCATGAACTAGCCACGTCAGAAATAGATAGAAAGGAAATAAGCTGCGCCTGCTCTTCCAAGCCCTCCGGCGCTCCGGGGCCCACTCTCCACCGCCGCCAGACGATACCATTGGCCCGCCAGTCAACTTGAAGAAGACGATGCTGTCGGATTGGAAGCCCAATTCGACCTCGAGTCGGCGCTGGCGCAGGGCCCATCGGAGGGCCTCTACTACTAGCGTCCAACTGACGGTCTACCCTACGGTCACAACCTGTCTTTTCCACCTCACGCAGAGATCGATGTCCGGTCAATCGACCCTTCGTCGCCACGGTTCGACCCGAGGAATCACCCCTGTGATACGTAAACCAACACCGATCAGTGGCTCACCTCCACCATCGCAGACCAGCAAGGCTATCGCGAAGCAGAAGAGGCGACCCTCTACTTCCGCGCGGGACAGGGGAACCGTGCTCCCTTGACCGCTCACGAAGACCAGGAGAAAGGGCCCTCTGAAGCCGGACGGAATAGAGGATTCGTGATCTTCTCGACTTCCATCGATGAGGAGGCGTCTATCACGTCAGCAACGGGGCACACCCCGCGAGATATCATCCAATACACCCTCTTTCTCGGCTCCCCACTGCCTCTTCAGGCCTGCGAACGGGATACTGCCGCGACGGCGAGCTACGGGCAAAAACGAGGTCGTCACGACATTAGCAGGCTCAACCAGCCCAAAGAGAGCACCTGCCGTACGAAGGCAGCAAGTGTCCCCGGAGAGCAGCAACGAGCGCGGAAGGAAGACGCCAGGGCCAAGGCAATCCTGGAGAAGAGAAACCCAAGAGCCGGTCTAGGACGCTGTTCCTATACCCCCCGATTGGAAGCAGACCACCGAACAGCAGTAATCCGCCTACCGAACGACTACGCCTCCCGGGATCCTGCTTGGGGAGGAACGCACGTGTTCGAGACGTCGTCAGACCACCCGCGCTCCGCCCCGACGAAGTACGGAAAACCCGCCTAGGTCGAGCAGAAGAAGCCCGCGATGGCCGGAAACGGCGCCGGAAGCCCGTCTACAGGCCAATGGATGAATACGAGGAACACCACGAGGCGAACCCAGGGCGCGGGACCCGATTTGACCCCCAACGACGAGTCGAGCGACGACGGGAGGCTGCCGCCGCTGCCTCCAGGCGGGTCAGACCTTAGCGCGTCAGAAGCCCATACGGAGATTGCCTCAAGTTCGAGCACAGGCCACAACTCAACCTCAAGCGAGTCAAGCCTGGTAGCGCAGGCAAGAGTGCCCATCCCGGATCAATGGATCCGCAGCATTGTCCAGGCCCATTGGGGCAGGTGGGCGTACAATACGAAGGACGACCCGAACTGCGATCAGATCAATGCGGCCCTGGTCTTCCTGGTCCAGATATACCAACAGGAAGGGTTCGCCGCGCGGCCCCTGTTCTACCGCGCAGTCGCGAATATAGGCCGCTGGCCCGACGATTGGTTCAGGCTCGCCAACGAGCATATCGCCAAGGCATTCATCAGATTTCTGCACGGCAATGGAGTATTGCCGGACCAGACGCCGGCACGGCACCCCTACGAGACCCTTGCGGCAACGGTGAGGGCAACGGATTTCACGGTTTGGTCCCAAGAGCAAGTTAACCGGGCCGTCAACCGGTCCGACCAGTTCGCCGAACGGATCAAGGAGCCCGGATTCCTGCTCGAGATTACGAACGGAGCTCTCTCGTCTTCGAGATCCACGCCGGGTAAAGGGATATCACCGCACGCGAGGTCATCACCAGATCTACGGGCCTCTCTCGTGGGCAGCGGAACGCCAGCAAGAACGAGGCTGCTGAGCCTCGTTCGCCAGGATCTGGGCGTCGAAGTGCGATCGACAGGCCACGGCCAACGCCATCTCCGTTCCCCTCTCCAATACGCGCGGGACCGGCCAGACCTGGAAGCGGCCAGCGTACGGCAACTAACGGATCGCAATAACATCGTCCCCAGAGAGAAGAACGACTCGGGGGGCAGGTACGCGGTCTTGCAAGAGACCGTAGTCATGTCCTACGACTACTGCGAGGAAGCGGGGATCCAAGATCACCAGTGTCACTCGGCCGTCACCATCGCTCTCACCGGACGAGCGAAGGAATATCACTACCAAGTCCCGCTTTAAGACCCAAGATCGGAGCCTGGGGCTCCGTGCGGAACGCAGAGCCCTCTCGTTCGGATCTGTAGCGAGAGAGATGGGGGGCCAACCGAGGATAGAGATCCTCGGTTAGCTCATCTCACGGATCGACAAGCTCGGCAAGACCCAGCTGGCAGAGGGAACTGACGAAAAGGAGGTCGGCTCCCTGTCAACAGCGGTCCGACGAGCTTACGAGGCAGAGTACGCCCTCCAAGGTCGGCTAAGAGAGCACGGGCCGCTCTACTCTTCTATAATATAAGGTTCTCCTTCTAGTGGGGGTTGGCTTGCCGGCATTCCGAAAAGCCTATACCAGAGTTGGGTACATTAACTACATTATCAATATCGTATGGGCATAAGCAGAAATAAGTGTTGCGTCCGAGTATAAAATAGTCTGAAACCATCGGAAACACATACGCACTTCCGTCTATTATGCATGCTCCGATACTTATACGTCTCTATGCTTGTCCCGTGACGGTCATTAAGTTACAGCTAGCCTAGCACTCTCGAGCACAAACGCCAGGGTCGGTTGCTTAGAAACATATTACAGCGGTGTAGTTAAGGTCGGCGCAATATCCTATAGTATTACGACCTAACATACATAATAGGACTAGGGACTCGCCCCGTAGGCCTACGGCGGCTACTATATTATATATAGTATAGGACACAAAAATATATATATTACCCTCACGGAATAAAAAAATTATAAATAAATCATATAATAATAAAATAAAACATTTTATATATTTTATATATAAAATCCGCTTTTTAATTAAATAAATCCTATATTTTAAAAATATAAAAACTATTAGATAAATATATAAATAAAAAATATATTTATAATTAAAACTTATATATAAAATAGTTACGAACTAAGCATAAGGATAAGCTTTTATAGCTTTTTTAATAATTAACTTCATATTAAATCTTATTATTACTTTTAGTTATTTTTATTAAAAACTTATTTAACAAGATTTAAATTAATTATTAAAGCCTTATTTACCTTACGACTTATAAATAAAAGTTTTGTTAAACCGATTTTAATAACGACTATTATTTATAAATATCGCAACCCCGATTTTTATTAATATCAACTTTATTACGATTAATTAATTATAATATTTTAATTATTTTTATTTAATAAATCGGTTTTATAAAAACTTATTAAATAATACGAATAATATCTATTTAATCTTTTTTTATTAAAAATAAAAAACCCTAAGTTTTAAACGCTAAGCTCGCTTAAATTAACAAAAACTTAAAAATACTTAATATTAAATATAATTTTAATAAAAACGCAGTCTTTAATAAAATAATGTATATTTAAATACGCCGCGTCGTTATTACGACCTAATACGTATTACTAAACTAAGGCTCTACCCCACAGGACCTACGGCGGCTACTATATAATAAATATAATAATAAGAACTTAAACGGCTCCTTTTAAAATAAAAGAACTATAAATAAGTTATATAACTACGATCGTATAATAAAATAAAAAACGGACGTTTATAAATAAATAAAATAAACAATTATAAAAATATAAAATAGATAACTATTTAATAAATAGTTAGATAATAATAAATAAGATATTATAAAAGATATATTTATAATTAAGATTTATATATAAAATAACCCGAGCTAGGCTTAAGGATAAGCTTTTATAACTTTTTTAATAATTAATTTTTATATTAAATTTAATAATCGCTTTTAATTATTTTTATTAAGGATTTTATTAATAAAATTATAATTAATTACTAAAGCTTTTTTATTTAACGATTTATAAATAATAGCCTTTTTAAAATTATTTTAATAACGATTATTATTTATAAATATTATAGCCCCGATTTCTTTTAATATAAACTTTATTACGACTAGTTAACTATAATATTTTAATTATTTTTATTTAGTAAATCGATTTTATAAAAACTTATTAAATAGTACGAACGATATTTATTAAATCTTTTTTTAATAAAAATAAAAAGCCTTAGGCTTTTAACGCCGAGCTAATTTAAGCCGAAAAAAATATAAAAATACCTAATATTAAATAAAATTTTAATAAAGATATAATCCTTAAGAAAATAATATATACTTAAATACGCCGCGTTATTAATTAAAATACTTAATATAATAAAAAACTAATAAACCTCTTTAATACTACTATTACCTAATAAATAAAAGCTTAAATTAAAAACGACTACGATATTACTAAAATATAAAAAGTATTTAACGTTATATTTAAAAAACTTAAAAACGAATATTAAAAAGCTTTAAACCTTATTAATTAAATAAATACGTTTTAAAATATTATTAATATCGTTACTACCCTCTTTAATAAAAAACAATAAAAACTTAAACTTAACGCACCTATTATTTTTAATAAGACCCTTAGAATTTTAAAAAGATTTTTAATTTAAATTAAAAACTTTAAAAACTTTTATAAAAAAAACTTTAATAACGAAATTAAAAAAGTCGTATACGCCGCTAGTTTTTTTAAAAAACGAGCTTTTAAATAATTTAAACCCTTTTTAAAAAAATACTTTAATAAAATTCTTTTTAATAAATACTTTTTTAAAATATAAAATATTTTTTATAATTTTAAAAGATTTTAAAAAATATTTAAATTACTTTTTTAAAATTTAGATAAAAAACGATAAGCCGAGCGCGATATATTATAATTTTAATAAATTAAATTAATAAAAAACTATTTAGCTAAGTTTAAACGCCTTAACGCTTAGCTCGATTATATTAATAATACTAAAATCTTTATATTTTACTAAGGATTAAAAAACGAGGTTAAAAACGAACTCATTAAGCTTAATAAATTAAATAATTTCTTTTAATATACTAAACTCATAATTAAAATCGATAACCGTTTTTATAAATAAAAAAAAAAAAAAAAAAAAAAAAAAAAAAAACAAAATAAAAAAAAAAAAAAAAAAAAAAAAAAAAAAAAAAAAGAGAAAAAAAAAAAAAAAAAAAAAAAAAAAAAAATAAAAAAAAAAAAAAAAAAAAAAAAAAAACGACAATAAAAACCTAATTTAAAATATAAATATTAATAATAACCTTAATATAACTTTAATTAAAAACACTACTATAATAAAAATAATAATCTTTAATAAACTATTATTTATAAATAATATAACGGACTTATAAACTTTAATATAGCGAAACGAAACTAATCTTATTAAAAAAAAGAATTTAAATATTATAACTATAATAAGTTAAAATATATAATTAAAAACTATAAATAACTTAAATAATTTGAATAAAGACCTATTTTTAAAAAACAAATTAATATTATTTTTAAAAAAATATTTTATAAATCACTCTCTTAAACCGTATATTATAATAATAACTACTTCATTTATTAAAATAATAAAAAATAATTAAGATAATACCTTAAGAAACCTTTTAATAAGACCTTTATTATAATAAATAAATAAAAAGTAATTTAACGCTTTAAGACTATTAAAAACTATAATAAAAAGTATATCTAAATATTATTAATAATATATAAAGTAATTAAGATATAATTTATTAATTTTCCTAATCGAGCGTAAACTTATATAATAATAAAAAATAAATTAAAAAAAAGGATAATAATTAAAAATAAAAACGATTTATTTTAATTAAAAAATAAGATCTTAATTTATAAAATACGGATCCTAAATGTAACTATTTATATAATATAACGAATATTTAATAAAATAATTTAATATTATAAATAGCGCCTTTTAATAATAAAAGATTATAATAAAAATTATATTTATATTTTAATTAATTATTATAAAACTAACCGATTATTAAAATAAAAACGACTAAATATAAAAATAATATTTGCTTTATTTTAGTAACGATTTTAAAAACGATTAAAAGTTAAAACGAAAAAAAACTTCCTCTAACTAAAAAACAAAATTAATAAAAAAATAAATCCAATTTACGGACCTTAAATATTAAAAAAACGTTATTAATAACGTATTAAAAAACTAAATAAGGCTTATTATACAGTAAACGCTTATATTTCTTAATATTTAATTATAAAAATAATCTTTATTATTTTATAATAGCGAATAAATAAAAATTTAAAACGATAATAAAAGACGATATACTATATTTAAAATAAAACTTTTTTATATTTATAAAAAATATTAAATTAAATAATTTAAGTAAAAAAGCTACCGACGATATATTTATAAAATTTAATATTAAAGAATTAAATTATAACCCCTTTTTAAATAATATATAAATTTTAGATTATAAATAGCTTATAAGTTAATAATTATTTTATAATTTAAACGAACTTTGCGACGTTGCTTAACGACGTATTTAATTAAAAATTAATTATAAAATATTACTTTATATTAATAATTTTATTATTAAAAAAAAGCCGATTTAAATAGGTAATTAAAAAAATAAAAATTTATAAGCTTTTAAAGATAGCTAGATTAGTTTACTAAGGATTTAAAAAACTATTTATATAATTAATATATTTTAAATATATAATTTAATATTAAAATATTTAAAAATTATAAATTATTTTTTAAAAAGAGAGTACTTATTAATAAAGAAATAAACGATATTTATAATATTATCGACGTATTATATTTATTTATTAAAGGATAAAAACGCCCCGATTTAATAATTAATTATAAACAGTTTATAAAAAAAAAACGGGTATTAGTTTTTAAAATATTAAAAAACTAAATACGTTAATCGTAAAAAAATAATAAAAAGTAGTTAAAATAAATAATTTTTATATTTTATAATACTTTTTAATAAAAAATATTTACGATTTAAATTTTAAATAAAGGAATATAATATAAACGCTATTATTAATAATAGTATTTAAAAGATCTTTATCTTATTAAAAATAATAAATAAATATAACTTATTATAAATACGGAAAATAAAATTATATATTTTATAAACGATAAAAAAAGAATAAGTTAAATATAACGATAAATATATTAATTAAAAGACTATATACCTTATAATATATATTAAGAATTAATTAAAATATTAAAATACGATATTATAAAGATCAAAAATACCGACGTTATTTTAAAAATCTTATAATTACGAAAATATAATTTATAAATAAATTAAAAAACCGGTTAACTTTATTAAATAAATTTAATTACTAAACGATTTAAAAAAAAAGGTTTAAATAAATTTTATATAATACTTAGTGAATAAAAATAAATTAAATATATTATTTTTATTAAAACGATAAAACTTATTAAAATATTTATACCTAGTATAAATGATTAAAAATCGGATTTATTTTAAATTATATTTAAAAAATATTAAATTTATATAAAACTATTCGCTTTAAAAGAAAAAATAAAATTATTAAAATATAATAGCTAAGATATGAAAATCGAACTAAAAAAAAAATATAACTTAAATTTATTTATTATATTTTATAAATTAATTTAAACGTAACAAATTTAACGAATATATTAATAATAAATTTAAAAAAGGTTATATTAAATTATTATCCTTTTTAATAAGAATATTAATCTTTTTTATACTTAAGAAAAATAAAAAAAAGCTTAGATTTATAATCAATTATAAAAGACTTAATAAAATTATTAAAAAGAATTATTATTTATTACTTTTTATTATAGAACTTAAGGAAATATTATATAGAGCTTAATAATTTATTATAATAAACATTAAAAAAGTATTTAATTAAATTAAAATTAAAAAAAAAGACGAATAAAAAACGGTATTTCGAATATATAAAAGATTTTATAAATATTTAGTTATATTTTTCGGACTTATTAACGTACCCGCTATATTTTAAATAATAATTAATTAAGTATTTAAAAAGTACGTTAATATCTTTATAATTATTTATTTTAATAATATCCTTATTTTCTTTTTTAATTTTAAAATATATAAAAAATATATTTATATAATATTTTAAAAATTTTAAAACGTAAAGCTTTTCGTTAAGCCTAATAAATACGAATTTTATATATAAAAAGTAAACTTTTTTAACTATATAATTATATTAAAATAAATTTATATATAAATATTTAAAATAATAATAGTTAAAAACTAACTTATATTTATTAATATTAAAAACGTATAATTATTATTAAAATTTATTAATTTTTATTAACGATTCTTTAAAAACTACGTTAATATTATTAAACTTTTTAATAACTTAATAAAAAAAATATAACTTTTATTTAAAATAAAAATATAAAAAAGCCTTTAATAAAATTAAGGATTTAATTATTTTAAAATTAATTATTATAATTTTAAATTTAGAGAAATTATTTAAAGTCGGGACTAACGTTTTAAATTTTATTATAAGAGCTATTTTAAAATAATAAAATTAATAAAGAGTATTTTATTTTTATATATTTTATTTTAAAAAGTTTTATAAAATAAAACTAAATTAATAAATTTATAATAAAGAATTAATAATTATAATTAAAGCTTTTAAAAAATAAAAATTATAACTTTTAAAAACTAAATATAAAGTTATTATTTATATAAATTATAAAAACCTTACGAACTTTATAATAAATAAAAATTTAAATAAACGATAAATTAAATAAAATAAATTCTTATTTAAGTTTAATTTCCGAATTATTTATCGGAAAGGTTTAAAAAATAGTAAAATAGATACTCTTAATAAATAACCTAATTATAAAGTTATAGTCTTTAAAAAAATATAAATAATCTTTAAATATAATAATAACGATAATTTTATATTTATTATAAAACTTTTTATAATAATTAAAAGAGTTAATATTAGCCCATTTAGAAAAATAACTTTTAAGCTTATTATAAAAGTTTATAATATTTAAGTATATAGTTATTAAAATATTATAAAAATATAAAAACGGATTCGTTAATATTATAATAAAACCGTTATAAAAATAAAAATTGTTAAAGTTATTAAAAACTACGATATTTATAAAAAAAATAAAAATAGTTTTTATAAACCTTATAAAAAACTATAGCTATTATTAATATTATTAAAAATATAATACTTAATCTCTTAAGATTTCATTATTAAACTATTAAAATTTAAAAAGCTGTTAATAAATATATAATATAATAATATTTTAATTATTATCGACCGACTTATTAAGTTTATTTATTTTATATTATATAAAAAAATAAGTAATACTAAAAAATTAATATATATCTTCTTTAAAATAATCATTAACAACTATAGTTTATTTAAAAAAATAGTTTTTAATAAAAATAAACTATTTACTATTAAGTTTTAAAAATTTTAATCTCGTAACTCAGTATAAACTATAAACTGTTAACCTCTTTTTATTTATAAACCAATAAATAAATAAAAAAAATTAATTAGATTGTTAAAATATACCTCCGTTACTATATAAATTATAATTAAAATAATTAAATATTATTATTACTAATAGCCTAGTTTATATATAATAGCGTGGTTAATAAAAGTATAAAAAAATCCTTTTTTTATTTTAATTACGGATTTTAACTAACTATATATAAAAAAATACATAAAAAGCTATAGGCTATAAAAGCCGTAATAAACGTAAATAAACTTAAAAAAATTTAAAAAGAAACCTTTTTAAACTTTAAATTTATATAATAGTATATAAGATAATACGCTAAAAAATTAAAAATTATTAAACTAACTTTATAAAAAAGAGATAGCATATATTTCCTTCGCCGTAATATTAAAACCAAACGACTAAATAATAAATTAAATTATAAAAAACTTAAACCTTTCGAAATTATTAAGAAAGTTTTATTAATTAATTTTAAATTAAAACTCTTAAATACGATACGATACTACCTAATCTTTTATATCTTACTCTTAAAACCGATATTTAAAAACTTATATATAAAAAACCGCATTATTATCGAACTTAATAAACTAAAATATAAATTCGAATAAATTATCGACTATTAAACCTAAAATAAATAATAAAAATACCTTATTAAATAAAAAAATTACGGATACGAAAATAATATATAAGAACTTATTACGAACCTTTAGAACTCTTAATAGCTTCTTAAAAAATATTAAAATTAAATTTAAACTTAAAACTCTTAATTATTATAACATCTTAATCGATAATATTAAAAGTATTATTAACTTACGCCTCCTAAGCTATTAAAAAAATACTCTCGGTATCCTTAAAAAATTCTTTTAATATAATATAACTCTTTTTAAATACTATTTATTTTTAAAAATAAAAACGTTTTAATTTAAATAACGATTTATTTAATTTAATTTAAGCTTTTTAATAAGCCTTAGCTTTTTTTTATAATTTTATAATCTTTTTTTAAAACCGTAACTTTTTTATTTACTTTTTATAATTAAAACGATCGGACTTTATTATTAAACGATTTATTATATTTATTAACTAAAACCTATAAAAAACTATTTATAAAAAACTCATAAATATAAATAATATTAATAAAAATATCGTACGAAATATTTAAATAATAATATATTCCGTAAATATTAAAATTAAAATAAACTAAATAATAAATATTTTAAAAACGATAATTTAAATATAATATTATTTTTATATTTTTATTAAAAAAACGAATAATATATAATAAACGGCGACGAGATGTAGCTATTTACGATTTTGATTTTTTAATTCGATTTAATATAACGTTAATATATTTTAATAAAAATATTTAACGATTTTTTAATTTAAAAACGAATAATTTATTTATAAGTTTAAAATTTAAATTTTTAAAAAGAGGAGTTAATATTATAATTTAATATATATTATTAAACTAAGGCTTTACCTTATAAAACTTACGGCGGTTATTATATTATATATATAATAATAAAAGCTTAAACGGTTCCCTTTAGGATAAAAAAACTATAAATAAATTATATAATTACGATTATATAATAAAATAAAAAGTAAACGTTCGTAAGTAAATAAGATAGGCGATTATAAAAATATAAAATAAATAATCGTTTAATAAATAGTCGGATAATAATAAATAAAATATTATAAAAAATATATTTATAATTAGGATTTATATATAAGATAACCTAAGTTAAGCTTAAAAATAAACTTCTATAGTTTTTTTAATAATTTATTTTTATATTAAATTTAATAAGCGTTTTTAATTATTTTTATTAAGAACTTTATTAATAAAATTACTATTAATTACTAAAGCTTTTCTATTTAACGATTTATAAATAATAACCTTTTTAAAGCTATTTTGACGACGATTATTATTTACGAGTATCGTAGCCCCGACTTTTATTAATATAAACTTTATTACGATTAGCTGGCCGTAATAATTGTTAATTAAAATATTTAATATAATAAAAAATTAATAGACCTTTTTAATATTACTATTACTTAATTAATAAAAACTTAAATTAAAAACGATTATAATATCGCTTATATATAAGAACTATTTAATATTACGTTTAAAAACCTTAATATTAAAAATAAAAAGACTTTAAAACTTATTAAATAAATAAATATATTTTAAAATACTATTAATATTATTATTACCCTTTTTAATAAAAAACAATAGAAATTTAAATTAAATATATTTATTATTTTTAATAATATTTTTAAAACTTTAAAAAGATTTTTAATTTAAATTAAAAACTTTTAAAATATTTATTAAAAAGATTTTAATAACGAAATTAAGAAAATTATATATACCGTTAGTTTTTTTAAATAACGAGCTTTTAAATAATTTAAACCTTTTTAAAAAAAGTATTTTAAAACTTTTTTTTAAATAAATATTTTATTAAAAAATAAAATATTTATTATAATTTCAAAAAGTTTAAAAAAACTTTTAAATTGCTTTTTTAAAATTTAAATAAAAAATAATGGACCGAGCGCGATATATTATAATTTTAATAAATTAAATTAATAAAGAATTATTTAATTAAGCTTAAACGCTTTAATATTTAATTTAATTTTATTAATAATATAAAGATTTTTATATTTTCTTAAAGAGTAAAAAATAAAATTAAAAACGAACTTATTAAAATCGACGAATTAAACGATTTTTTTTTATATATTAAATTTATAATTAAAATTAATAACCGCTTTTATAAAAAAAGAAGATATAATAATAAAAACCTAATTTAAAATATAAATATTAATAGTATCCTTAATATAGTTTTTATAATTTTAATTAAAAACACCGTTATATTAAAAATAATAATCTTTAATAAATTACTATTTATAAATAATATAACGGATTTATAAATTTTAATATAATAAAACGAAACTAATCTTATTAAAAAGAAATTTAAATATTTTAACTATAATAAGCTAAAATATATAATTAAAAACTATAAATAACTTAAACGAATTTAATAACGACCTATCTTTAAAAAACAAATTAATATTATGTTGAAAAAAACACTTTTTAAATTACTTTTTTAAACTATATATTATAACGATAATTACTCTATTTATTAAAAATATAAAAAATAATTAAAATAATATTTTAAAAAACCTTTTAATAAAACCTTTATTATAATAAATAAATAAAAAGTAGTTTTATATTTTAAAACTATTAAAATTATAATTGAAAATATACTTTAATATTATTAATAATATATAAAATAATTAAAATATAACTTATTAACTTTTTTAAATAAACGTAAACTTTTACGATAATAAAAATAAATAAAAAAAAAATAAGAATTAAAAATAAAAACGAGTTATTTAAATTAAAAAACGAGATCTTAATTTAAAAAATACGAATTTTAAATAAAACTATTTATATAATATAATAAGGATTTAATAAGATAATTAAATATTATAAATAGCGCCTTTTAATAATAAAGAATTATAACGAAATTTAAATTTGTATATTAATTAATTATTATAAAACCGGTCGGTTAATTAAATAACTAAATATAAAAATAAATATTCGCTTTATTTTAATAACGATTTTAAAAACGATTGAAAATTAAAATAAAAAAAAACCTTTTTTAATTAAAAAACGAAATCGATCAAAAAATAAATTTAATTTACGGACTTTAAATATTAAAAAAACGTTATTAATAATATATTAAAAAACTAAGCGAAGCTTATTATATAATGAATTTTTTTTTTCAATATTTAATTATAAAAATAATCCTTATTATCTTATAATAATAAATAAATAAATAATTTAAAATAATAATAAAAGACGATATACTCCGTTTAAAATAAAACTTTTTTATATTTAAAAAAAAATTTAAAATTAAATAATTTAAATAAAAAAACCGATAGTATATTTATAAAATTTAATACTAAAGGATTGAATTATAATCTTTTTTTAAATAATATATAAATATCGAATTACGAATAACTTATAAACTAATAATTGCTTTATAATTTAAACGAATTTTACGACGTTGCTTAATAACAAGCTTAATTAAAAATCGATTATAAAATACTATTTAATATTAATAATTTTATTATTAAAAAGGAACCCGATTTAAATAGATAATTAAAATAACTAGAATTTATAAACTTTTAAAAAAAACTAAATCAGCTTTCTAAAAACCTAAAAGACTATTTATATAACCGATATATTTTAAACATATAATTTAATATTGAAATATTTAAAAATTATAAATTATTTTTTAAAAAAAGAGAACTTATTAATAAAAAAATGAATAATATTTATAATATTATTAAGGTATTATATTTACTTATTAAAAAATAAAAGCGTCCCGATTTAATAACTAATTATAAACGGTTTATAAAAAAAAACGAATACTAGCTTTTAAAATATTGAAAAATTAAATATATTAATTATAAAAAAATAATAAAAAACGATTAAAATAAATAAGTTTTTATATTTTATAATACTCCTTTATAAAAAGTATTTATAAATTAAATTCTAAATAAACGAATATAATATAAACGTTATTATCGATAATAGCGCTTAAGGAATTTTTATTTTATTAAAAATAATAAATAAATATAACTTATTATAAATATAAAAAATAAAACCGTATACTTTATTAATAATAAGAAAAAGAAAAATTAAATAAAATAATAAATATATTAATTAAAAAACTATATACCTTACGATATATATTAATAATTAATTAAAATAATTAAATATAATATTATAAAAATTAAAAATATCGATATTATCTTAAGAATTTCGTAATTATAAAAATATATTTTATAAATAAATTAAAAAACTAACTAACTTTATTAAATAAATTTAATTACTAAACGATTTAAAAAAAAGTTTAAACGAGTTTTATATAATATTTAATAAATAAAGATAAACTAAATATATCGCTTTTATTAAAATAAAAAAACCTATTAAAATATTCGTATTTAATACGTACGATCGAAAATAGAACTTATTTCAAACTATATTTAAAAAATATAGAATTTATATAAAACTATTCGCTTTAAAAAAGAAAATAAAACTATTAAAATATAATAATTAAAATATAAAAATCAAATTAAAAAAAAATATAATTTAAATTTTATTTATTATATTTTATAAATTAATTTAAATATAATAAATTTAATAAATATATTAATAATAAATTTAAAAAAAGTTATATTAAATTATTATCTTTTTTAATAAGAGTATTAATCTTTTTTATATTTAAAAAAAATAAAAAAAAGCTTAAACTTATAATTAATTATAAAAAACTTAACGAAATTATTAAAAAAGATTATTATTTATTACCCTTTATTATAAAACTTAAGGAAATATTATATAAAGCTTAATAATTTATTATAATAGATTTTAAAAAAGTATTTAATTAAATTAAAATTAAAAAAAGAAACAAATAAAAAACGGTATTCTAAATATAAAAAAAACTTTATAAATATCTTTTTATACTTTTCGGACTTATTAACGTACTTATTATATTTTAAATAATAATTAACTACGTATTAAAAAAATATATCGATAGTTTTATAATCG